CTCCTGGAGAGTTTTAAAACTACCAGTACTTGGGTCACGCTCTCAACCAAAAAAATAAAAAATTCTGGAGGTGGAACCTGGCATCAAGTTTTAAGACTTCTCCAGATGATTCTAATATGCAGCCATCAGCATGAGGAACTACTGCCTGGAGTAAAAACTCACCATCAGCCAATCTGGACACTTCATAAATGCCAATACCCAGAGTCACAAACTCCAGAACTCTTTCCATCTTGTGAAAGTACAACTCTAGGCCCATTCACCACTATCTCCTCATTCCCTTTCCCCTAGCCCCTGTCAACCACCATTCTATTTTCTGTCTCCATGAATGTGACCACCGTCGGTATCTTACAGAAGTGGAATCATACAGTATTTGTCTTTCTGTGACTGGCTTCTCGCACTTAGCATGATGTCCTCAAAGTCCATCCATGTTGCAGCCTGTATCAGGATTTCCTTCCTTGTAAAGGCTGAATAATACGTTGTCCATATACACTGCATTGTTGATCCCTTCATCCATCAATGGACACTTAGGTTACTTCTTCCTTTTGGCTGTTGTGTATACTGCTGCTGTGATCACGGGTATACAAATATCTCTTCAAGACTCTGCTTTCAATTCATTTGGGTCTATACCCAGAAGTAGAACTGCTAGGTCATATGGTAATGCTATATTTAATTTTTTGAGGAAATGCCATACTATTTTCCATAGTGGCTATACCATAAAGATTAAAAAAATAATAATAATAATAGCAGGGGCGCCTGGGTGGCTCAGTGGGTTAAAGCCTCTGCCTTTGGCACAGGTCATGATCTCAGGGTCCTGGGATCGAGCCCCACATCGGGCTCTCTGCTCAGCGAGGAGCCTGCTTCCCTTTCTCTGCCTGCCTCTCTGCCTACTTGTGATCTCTGTCAAATAAATAAATCTTTAAAAAATAATAATAGCAAATACTTTCATGATACTGTTATGTGAAAAAAGTTAAGCTCTAACTTATATATACAGACAAGCCACAACTATGTTAAAAAAAAGAAAAAGGCCCAGGAGCAAAGATGAAGTACGTATACATAGAAAACTGTGAACTAACAATAGTCGCTTCCACTGGATGTTGGTAAGAGCAGACTGACAGTCTCTTCTTTTCCAAATTTCATACTTGCCTAACCTTCTATGATAAGCATACGCTACACTGATGACCAAGAAAAAAAAAGTGAAAAAACATTTCGTAGGGCACATTTTTCCTCCCAGTCATCATGTCATCCATTGCACTGAGCCTGACAGTTCAGTGAGTTCACCACATTTGTATGAAGGGAAACACACACACACACTACCTCTTCCTTTTATAACCAAATTGATTTCTGAAAAATTTTAAGCCCAATATAGTAATAATTCCAACTCTCGATCAAAATAATAAGTCCTTTCTCCTCTTAGGCCTCTCTGACAGGGCTTTCAGAAAATCCTTCCTATTTAGGCAGGGCCTGTGGTCCAGCTGGGGCCGCCGAGCTGGGGCCGTCTGTTAGCCTCCCCAGGGCGCTGCTGAGCGCCCTCCAGGGGTGCCCGCGGCCAGCCTCTCCAGGCCCGCCAGCCACCCCTATGTGCACTCTGCTTGTGGCCTGGGTCGGCTTCCCTTTCCTTCAGTAGTTGGGGAACGGTGCTCACACCGTGAGAGAGACACTGACCTGGATGGAGAAGGGAGGCCTGGAGGCAAAAGGGGAAGGAACGTGAAGGATTAATGAGCTGACTTCCATAAAGCTTTGACATCTTGGAATGAAAAGCGGCCTGTAAGAGCAGAAGCCCAGGCCTCTACTCAGGCCATGTTGCCAGCTGGCCGTTCATCACCAAAAATTCCCCACAACTCCATGGCTATTGCTTAACCACCTCATATAAATCCCAATTAATCTTGCAAAGTCAAAACATAAATATATGACAAAAGTCTTTATTTTATGTGCCTTCAATTTCAGGGTCAAAATTTACAAAACCGAATTGGTTATCCAGTGGCTCCAATGAACTTTTTTTTTTTTTTAAACTTTCTTTGGGAATAAAAAGACAAATAAGTGACACCCTCACTAATGTGTATGTACTTAGTGGACTGAAGGAACTCAGGCTAATAAATAAACTGTAGAAGAAAAAAGGTGTCGGTGCTAAAATTTAAACTAGCTTTCCTTTTTTTTTTTTGGCAGTAACATTAATGTTTCATAGCTTATACTCAAAAGATACAGAAAAGCCTTAGTAGGCACAAAGGAACATTTATTCGTCTTTCATATGTAAATTGCTAGGGACATAAAGAGCCTCTTGAGCAGGGGAACTGGGAATACTCCACATTGCAATGTCTTTCATGGGAAAGGCAGGTGATAATGTGAAATGGTGGTCGGCTTCGAGAAGGGCCCATCAGGACCCAGAATGGGCTCCTGTGAGCATGGAGGTTGTTAGTGCACACACTCACCTCCCAGGGCAACGACCTCAAAGGACCTCAGGGACAAGGCAGGCATGTCTCACAGGACAGGCTGAAATTTCGTCATTTACGTTCAGTGTTCTCCTTTCCTGTTCAGGAACCTCAAGGTTATCATGTTAATGATGTGGATAATACAGAAAAACTGATACACGGCTTTGGAAGGGATGGTGCTCTGCCAGTGTGTTTTCCTCCCAAACTTTATTTCAGGCTCTGAACACATCCTGATTAACACAGTAAAAGTGCGTGGGAAGCAAGAGGAAGCCTGGTGTTAGGAACCACCTACAGACCACCCACAAAGTATAAAGTTCACACTTGGATCATAAAGAGTGGACTGTACTGGAAACATAAAAGTGGCTTTCCTGGACTCTGGGCAAGGAAGGTGGAAACGCAGTGAATTGCGGTGATTCATGCTTTTGTTTTCTAGGGCTGAAAAAATCATGGAGAAAAATAAGAGAAGGTGTGTGTGTGTGTTGGGGGTGGGGTAGTGATGATGCTGAAAGCCTCACAGGAAAATTGCAATAGGGACTAGAGGGAAAGTTAAAAGAGGACAGGAGGACCCCTCCAGCTGAAGAGGAGGCTGATGGTAGCTTGGTCATCCATTTTCAGGCACTGACCCCACAGCATGAAGGTCCATTCAGAGGGCTGGCCTGTGACACCATCTCCCCCTTTCCGTCCAACAAGAAGGGATGGGCTCAAGAAGCCAGTAGAGGTTGAATTTCTATGAAACCCATGAAGGGGCAGCAGGCTAAGAGGGCAGAAATGCCCATATAGCACTTGCAGAACAGGAAATTTAGGATTCTGTCTTGGGGCGGGCCTGGCTAGAAGCAGAGATTTCATTCGACAGCATGGTTCCTAGAGAGCCCTGACTTCCTAATCCCTACACACAACAGCTAGGGGGACCTGGCTGGCTACTGATAAACAGATGAGAGCACAAATGTGATCACAGTTCCCTATTCTCCCAAGAAAGGCAGCCTAGGGGAGTTACCTGAAAGCCACCCAGAAGGCAATGATACTAGGCTCAGTCAGAGAAGCAGTTTATGGCCAGTCAACTCCTGCTCTCTGCATGAGAGAGAGAAAACACAGACTGGTCTAAAAACGAGAGTTAACCATCACTTTACTGGCATTTCACACATGAATCTCCTCATCAGTATCTCTGTCCAGAGCTATCGGCGCTTAGACAAGACGTGGAGACTCACAACAACCACACACCGAGAAATCCTTCAATGGCTCCCTTTCACCAAGAGGTTTCCTTGAGGAGCTTTCACTGTGTGGCCTCCGTGGATTTCCGCAGCCTCGTGTACCTTCTACAAGGTTCCAGAGAGCTGACTTGTTTACCGCTCTCCATACTTGCCATGCCATGTCACACAGCCACATCTTTGCCGCTGACATTACCAGAGCCCAGAATGCCTTCCCTGCCCTGGCCACTTGCCGAAATGCTGCTCATCTCTGGAAGGCCCTTTGCTGCCCCTCCTCTGGGCTACTCCTGGGCTCACCACACACATTTTTTATTTCCCTTGCCATATGCGATGAAAATTATTTATCTACACATCTTTCTCACCTCCTGGATTTGAGTTCCTTGAAACCAGAGCTAGTTTTTCTCTCTCTTTGCATCCCTTCCATCTCCTAACACAAAGGCCAGTGTGTAGTTGGTGTTGGACAAGACTTTGCTGGATTACAGTGACTTGTGGGCCTATACTGCCCATTTCCTGCCTTCGCATATAAGGTGGGGAACCAACAAAAGTGAGCGAAGGGACATTTTTTGAAAAACAAAAAGGCTGGTACGTTAGACAATCAATACATTGATTTCTAATCGAATGCAAGATACTCTGGCTTGGAATGTGGTGGCCCGTGGGCCTCTTGTGCTGGAATGTACAGAGGACGTACTGGGGGGCCCTTGCAGTAACAATGTGCAACCAGTATCAGAGTCTTGCAACATGGGTTTGACCATATTGTTACAAAGAGGACTCCCTGTGTTTTGAATGAGAGATTCTTTTTATTCCCTCTTTCACATAGTAAATGGCCTAAGTTCTAGAATAAATGAAGAACGGTGAGAATGAAAAAACAAATGTCTCCACCCTCCTTTGCCGCGATTATTCAAGCTATTCTCCTGCCTACCTAGAAAGGGGGCAACTTGTACGTCTTTTACTTGTTCATGATCTACTGGTCTCTCTGTGCCTATTCAAGTCCTACCCCAATCTCTAATCTATGAATTGCCGTGGCACCTAAGAGTTTGCACCACATGATTGAGTCAATTACTGCCTTTTACCGCCATGATATTTGACACAGGGCTGGGCACATGGCAGGTATTAATAAAAACAAGCTGATCGGTGGACTGATAAAAGGCCATATTACAAGTCCCCCAGCCATACAGCCGTTTCAGAAAAATTGTCAAGAAAATATTTTTCTTTCGTTCCCACAACCCAAAGTTCTAAAAAGAAAAATACTCCAATAAATTTAGAAAACTCATGCCAATGACTTTTTAAAACTCCCACAACTAGAAACAGCCATTCTCCAATGTATTCCTAACCCCTGATAACTCCTTGTTCATGTGGGGTTTTAACATACCTCTTGGCCAGCCAGAGTTTGGCTCTGGTGCAGACAGCAACGTCAGCCAGCTCCTGCTGAAAGTCTGTATTCAGTCTGTACTTGGAGTCTGTGCAGGCTTGTAACAAATGAAAAACCTAAACCAAAAAGGAGAAAAAAGCAACATCCTGCTGTGAAAATATATTTTTCCTAAATGTTCAGTTCCTCCCTGTTAGGTTTCCTCAAAATATTCCCCTCAAAGGAAATAGACACCTGCAGAATGGGGCTCTGGTCTCCACACAGGAAGCAAGCTGGTTTGGGAGGACATAGCAAGTGGCAGGAAACCTAGGCCCTCTGTCCCTACCTCTGCTCTGGGTCCCCCTGTGCAATTCCAAACAAGGGTGACAACTCAGTGACCACACACTCATTTGATACAAGAGCTTATTAGTTCCAACAGCCTATCAAGTGATTTTAGCAAAGAAAGGCAAACACCTTACTCTCTGTGACCCGTCTAACATGAAAAAAATGTACCTTGTCAAGTCAAAGTCTCACTGCAGAGGAAAAATCAACAGTCTCACAGTCCAGACTGGTTTGTGGGTTGAGTTTATCAGAACAGTCTTGGCCAAAGAAGCAGGCCACGACGATGCTTGCCTTTGCAAACACAGATGGTGATGTCTATAAACGATCTTGATTTTTTCCCGCAGTTTTTCACCGAGACACGGAGTGGAAGTAGCAAAACAGACACAAGCTACTCTCACTCTGACATGACATGATGTATGAGAACTGGGCAGAGAAGGACACATCCTCTAGTTGCCCCCACTTAGAACGAAGGCCACAGATTCAGCAGACACATGACCGTGTGTGTATTTGTGTGCACGGCTCATGTAAGCATGTCGTGGTTCACACTCAGTGATGACACCAACAACACTCTGTGAGGAGTCCAAAGCTGCAGCAGAGAGAGAGGACTAAGGCACAGACAAGTTCCTCTGACCTTAGCCAGTGCCAAGGAGTGTGAGGACGCATGTCAGAGAGCTCCTTGGTCTCATCTCAATCAAGCGGAATCAGTGGGTGGAGCAAAGCCAGTACGCATAAACACACTGAGAACTCGCAAAGTCCATTTTAATAATCAGTTTGCTTCCCTTCCCTATTGTAACCTTCACCGGAGCTACAGGTGACTCTTTCAAAGCAACGAGATTTAGCTTTTTCTTCTCTTCCTCTCCAGCCAATGAGGAGTCTAAGCGAGAGTTAAATAGGGAAGCGAATAATGAGAAGAAGCAAGAGGCCAAGACAAAAGAGATCCAGAATCATCAGAGACTGAACAGGAATGAGCTAGCAGTTTTCCCGGATCGGGCATCTGCAGTCACCAACAACAAATTGTGTAGAGAATTTAAAAAAAAAAAATTGTGATTACTTTACTATATGTAAGTACTATTTTTTTTTTTTTTTTGGTCTAAACAGACCTAATTGTGTAGGAGAATGCACACAAGTCCCAATGTGGAGACTGAAAACGCTTTCTCTAATAATGGATCTGTTATTTCAGAGGCAACAGATCAAGTATCACTACTTCACCACACCCCCACAGGGACCCAAACCGCCCGTCGTGAAGTCTGGAGAAATGGGTCTGGCTGGGGCTTCTGTTCTTCTGTGGTGACTGCCAGAGTGAAAAAAACAGCTCCTTCTGCTCGAATCCCCGCTATCCTGACAGAGCTGGCAAAGTCACTGGGCCTCGCTTTACTTTCCTCCACAGCTGCACGAAACCAACCACCGGGGCTTTTCATGGTGTCACAGAATCATAATTAATCAGCAGACACCAGCAAAATACATGACCGTGGAATTTACTTGTAAAGAAACCTGTGAGATTTTCGAATGCCTCTCATTTAGAAGCAATCGCCTCAAAAATAACTCCTGATGGATGTTTAAACTTAGTCCTATATTTGCTCACCTTCCTTGGCAAAAACAAGGCTGTTTTTGAAACGCTTGGTAGCTCTGGTTTATGAAAATCAGCCTCCAGGTCCATCAATTCTGTCACCTTGGGCACAACCCAGACAACAATTGTGATCCTGGTTATTCACCAGGAACAGAGAGCGATCTATTTACACAGGACAACTGCAGAGGGAGGTACACTTACGAGAACCACGGTGGAAGGAAGCATGGAGGAGAGACAGAGCAAGGAAGTGAAAGACAGGGTCACAGAAGTCAAGGGAAAAGTGGGCAGGGAAGGGGAGGAAGGGGAGAAGACGGGGTGGGGGAGGAAAGAAAAGTTTTGTAGGCCTATGTGTGGAACAAGTTATTGTGTTTGAGATCATTTTTTTTTCTTCAAGAAAATTAATGACTATATTTGAATACATGGCTACCTTCCCCTGACATTTAGAGGGTCTGTTTTAATTTGTCCAAGAAAAATGAGGCCATCCTTTGGTGTGAAGTCCAGATATGGGGCCAGGCCTCTGGAACTATGGTCCAAGGTCAGGTCCAGTAGCCCCAGGCAGCTCCCAGGAAGGGTTATTTGCCCATCAGTCGGAAAAGACTGCGGGGGCAAGGCAATTCCTCCTGCTTTCCCCCTTCTCCGAAAGTTCTGGTCCAGGAGAACCCCTGGGCTAGGAGTGTGGACTAGGCGAAGCCTGGGATAACTTGCAATACAGGACCACACTGAACCAAAGAGAGATACCGAAACTGTGCGACCAACTGAATGCATATAAGAGCTCTGAGAAGGGAAGTGTCATTTTAGGTCTCCCAAATTCGCAATATGATTCAAATATTCAGTCCACAGATATTTACTAAAGAACTACCAGGCACGGTCCTAGGAGCGGTGGCACAGGACACACGAGCACCTGTTCCCTGCAGCTTACATTCTAGTCACGGGTAAGTGGAAAATCCATAGCTTTCCCACCCCTGCCTGGTCTCGATGTACGACCTTCGTGGTGGCATCACCATCCCCATCCTCTTCTGCTTGACCTCCCCCTTGACCAAGCCCAGCACACAGCAGGAATGCAACGAGCATCTGCTGAATTGATGTCGCGCTGCGGTGCCTCTTCGTATACCAACGCTGCCTGTAGGACACATGCCCTTGGGTTTGGTGAGCTCCTATAACCCCGAGTAAGGAGTGGAGACACAGGGGAACACCACTGCACTCCTTGCTGCAGCAGGGAGAGCAGGGAGGCTAGGTCAGTAGTGGAAATGCAGTCCTACAGGGTGGGCAGCAGGGGGCACAGGCTTGGGAGTCAGGTAGACATGGTGTAGAACCAGTTACTAGCTATGGGGCTTGGGGCAACTTATTTAACCTCTGCTTCCTCGGTAAACAGTATATAACAGTCTCTGTTATAGGGCTATAGAGAGATTTAAAGGAATATATGGTACTTGGCACCCATTAGGCACCTGATAAAAATGTTAGTTCTCTTCCTTTTTCTGTCTGCCCCTTCCCTTCTAGCCCCCATTCCAAAAATAAACATTCAGAGAAGACTTTGCAGAAAAAGTCATATTCCTATTTGGCCCTTAAACAAATCTGGTCAGAATCCGGGGAAGACCACGCAAGCAGAGAGGAAACTGAATTATAAAAAAAAATGTTAAAGGGTATTAAAATATCAGTATTGCCAACAAAAACAACAAACCTTAATGTAAATTGTGGACTTTAGTTAATAATGATGGGTCAATACTGGTTCGTTGATTGTAACAAACATACCCTTCTAATGCAAGATATTAAAAACAGGAGAAAACTAGGGAGGAAAGGAGTATGTGGGAACTCTCTGCTCAGTCTTTCTGTAAATCCCTAAATTGTTCTTAAAACATCCTATGAATGGAAAGAAAATATTAGGACTGCTCAGGGACAGCAAGTAGTTGTGTATGGTGAGAGCAAAGCCAAGTGTGTGCAAGGCGGTAGGAGACAAAGCTGCAAAGAGGGTTCAGGTTGGAATGAAGATCTAAAAAGTACCACCAAGACCTCTGTTCTGCAGGCGGCACAGGCCTCTTTAGAGACAGTGCTCACATAATCAGATCTGTAATTTGGAAAGGAAAGGCCAGGACATTGTGGAGGCTGGAAAAGAAGGAGCAGGATGACCAAGATCGCTATCAGTCTAGACTACAGGTGGTCAGGGTCAAAGCCAGAGGCTGAAAGCCAAGGATGGCAGTGGGCCCAAAGTGGCTGCAGACGTTTTCTTCAACCTTCACAGTATTATTTTTAACCTGCCACTTACGAATTGGGAGATTTCACACCAAAATCATCCTGATTTCCAACTTCTTCTGAAAAATTGGAAGACCTGGGGACCGCAGGCCCATGCTCCTACACGGTAACAGGCACCTGTGGGGGCGGGTTCACGGCCATGCCAGAACTGCCTGTTACTCATGGGACTAAGGTGGAGTATCAGTGTCATTTATCACCGCTTTCTTGCCTTTTTTTTTTTTTTTTTTAACTTTTGGAGAATCAAGAAAGAGGAAAGTTAAGTATTTATTGAACCCAAATCTCTATCAAAACTTTAAAAACAAAGGATTGGACCAAGAGGGCTGTGTGTTTATGACAGTCCCCCTCATTCACTCATCTGCTTGGTGCTGATAGGACTCTGATTTTGTGAAAGCCCCAATCTAGATGGTAAGAGGAATGGAATGGAGAGGAAAAGGATACACTTGAGAGACATTTTAGAAGCTGGAGAAGCTCGGGGTGCCTGGGTGGCTCAGTGGGTTAAGCCTCTGCCTTTGGCTCAGGTCATGATCTCAGGGTCCTGGGATTGAGCCCGGCGTTGGGCTCTCTGCTGAGTGGGGAGACTGTATTCCCCCTCCCCCTCTGCCTACTTGTGATCTCTCTCTCTGTCAAATAAATAAATAAATAAATCATTTAAAAAAAAAAAAAAAGAAGAAGCTGGAGAAGCAGGATTTGGCAACTTGGCATTTAGATGTGGAGTTGAAGGTCAGAAAAGAGCCTCTTAGCTCAGGCAGCCAGTGATGGAAAGTCATCGTCCAAGACAGGGACCACAAGGGAACATGTAGGTTTGGGAATGAGGGAAGGGGACCTCAGGAGTTTGGTTAGGAACATCCGTGTGATGACTGCTCTAGTCAGTGGTAATTTATCTCGCACAGCAAGAAATCTTTCGAGAGTGAAAAGAAGCTCTATGAATGAACACCATGGGATGGGACGAAGCAAGGCAGAGGGGTGCCTCTGGCTCTGCAGGCC